TTTCCCAGATGGTCTCAAAGTAATTTTAAGGTTTTATTCTTATTATTATGACGTCTTAGATCAGTGACTCAATTAAATGAGAAGTAATGGCCTGGGTGAATTTTGTCTGCTAGGGGACACTTAAAATGTTTGGAGACATTTTTCGTTGTCACAACTAGGGGCTGCTACTGGCATCATGGGAGAGACGCAAGGATGCTGCCAAGTAGCTGACAATGCAGAGGGCAGCTTCCCTACAATAAAGAATTAGCCCAAATCTTTAATAGTGCTGCAGTTAAGAACCCCTGCCCTGGATCACTGCTGTAGAACAGAACTTTCCATGATGTTGGAAATGTTCTATATCTGAGTTGTCCAACATGGTAGCCACTGACCACATGCAGCTGTTAAACACTTGAAATGTGGCAAGCGTAACTAGAAACAAATTTCTTAATTTTACCAAATTTTAATTAATTAAAATTTAAATAGCCATATATGGCTAGGGGCTACTTTACTGGACAACACAGCCCTAGATAGTTCTTAAGAAAAAAACGGGAAAAGATCTACAAAGATAATATGAATGAATTTCCGACAGGATGACTGTTCACTCCTATTTCTTTTTCCCAATAGGGTATTACAGAAAGGACCCAGGGACTAATCATCAGGACACAGTTCTAGACTCTTTTATACATAACTCTGACCAATTGTGAGGCCTTGACTCTGGGGCCTTAACCATCTTTAACTTCTCTGTGTGCCTTGGTAAATCTGGTCTATAAAATGGATCACAGAGCATCGAAATTCCTTCTGGAGTTTATATTCTATAGTTTTGTAGGGTTTTTTTTTTTATTTATTTAGCTTTCAACTAACTTGTAGTATACTATTGAAGTAGGCCAGCAATTACTTAATTAATTGCATTCTTTTCCTTAAAAACTGGTTCATAGACATTTTCTTTGCAGAGTTTTGTACAAGAGTTATGGTAAGTGAGCAATACAGAATGCTGGAGTAAACGGGTAATATCTATCTTCTGGGAAGCAGGTGAATTGCTAGAAAAGATGTAGTTTAGCACATATGACTCTATGTAAAGTTTATATACTATTATTTATTTGTTTGGTGTATTAATACTTATGTGAATACACATCAGCTGCTTCTAGTTGGTGTGAACTAATAAAATTGGACCATCCGTATCTATAAAAATCAAATATATGCCATAGTGATATTATACTCAAAGGCATACCTCAAGTATTTTTACATAAAGCATACCCACATATGATCCTTGTAACATGAGAACATGGATAAATGTAAAATACGTTAAAGTAGAATAACAGAACCAAGATTTCATTACCATAAATACTTTTCTAGGTTTAATAGTCATCTAGCTGATATACACATTCCTCCTCAGGTTAAAAGAAAAATTCTTTCACCAGATAATAAGCCAAACAAAACATTGTAACTTAGAAAAAAATCTTGCAGTCGACTTAATTTGTGCCCTCTGTGCCTAGCTGGGAGTTATCAGGTATTAATATTTTAAAAGGATTGATGTTTCAAGAGATGCTATTGTTCTCTTTGAAGCATACCAGTGCTCTCGGAGGCTGGGTTCTAATGCAACCAGCATGTGCTCTCCTGCAGCCCATTAACCTTTAAGACTTGTCACTCAGCTGCTTCCACAGGAGTAGTTTTTTAAACCCAGAGAGGAAACAAGGTTATTTAGAAGGAATCAAATGGATAGTTTTACATCTCAAATGTTGGACAGAAGTCGTTTTCATGTAATTTAAAGGGTAAGTTGAAGGAACAAGGTTGGCTATTACAATCTAATTATTAAATTAATTAGACGCTGTACAAAATAACTTCAAAGGAAGCCAGCTCTGCTTATCTCTAATAAGAAAGTCATGGCACTTTCTCTGTCAACTGGAAATCCAGAAAAATGATTCCAAATATAATTTCTAAAAACACAGTTTTATGAAAATTAGATTAGTTTTATGACAATTTATGACAAAGTGAATTTATCACTAACTTTGTGCAGATCAAAGTTCTAACAATTTTGATGTTTGGGCTGCTTATTCACAAGGAGAATGT